ATTTTTTTTCACAACAATACAACTATTTTTTTTTCCAATTCAAGTGGCTCTTATTTTTTTTTTTTTTTTTTGTCAACACAGTGCACCTTTCTCCTTATTTCATTAGTTCCACTCAAAAGCCAAACCAACCACCCCACACTTTAACTTTTACAAAGTTCATTACAATTCAAGTGCTCATGGGAGGTGAAAAGATTCAAATAGATGGTTAATTCAAATAAAGGTGTAAGGCTTGTAATGTGGTTGCTAAAGAAAAAGGATTACATGCTCAAAGGGGTTAACTACGTTACATAACAATTAGGTGGGTAAAATAAACATATCTGGCTCAACAAAGGAATGCCTATATCACTTCCAAGACTGAAGAAAACTACTATTTCGCTTTGCAAACACACGGGACAAGTTCTAGACATCAAATGCAATGCACAGAATACAACAAACCTCACACGCACATGGCACATGATTCACTCAAGATTGGATCATCAAGACACTCTAGTCAAAGCAGTTAAGCAAATTAAGGTCATACAATTTAAGGTACTTCTACAAGAGTCAAAAACTGAGCCTAAACATCACAACCAAAGTACTTTCTATTCTCAAGGCATAACAAAGTTAAGAGATATCGCTGCAATTCAATTTATCTCACACTAGCTCCTACTCCCTAAAAAAAACTAACTACACCCGGTTCAAACAAAACCCTTGGAAAATAACCGCGGCACAAAGAAAAACCAAGGGGGAATTACTACACTACCTACAAAAAAAATCTTTTTCTCTTTTTTTCTTTGGACTTAAATCCCTCAAAAAACAAATTTAATTAATTAAACTAACACAACTAAAATAACATAGAAAGTCACCTAAACAATCTCCTCACCCCACACTTAAAATTGTGCATTGTCCCCAATGCACACCATAACTAATAAAAGGGTAAAAAAGACTTCCTGGTAGGCCAAAGGCCGAAGCACTAACAGCTCATGGGGTACACAGACTTCTCCCAGGCTTGGTCTTTCGTGCGGGTACCTCACACTTAGTTCCAACCATTTGGTTTGATGTTGCATCCTTCCAATAGCTTAGCTTTCCATGCTCCTAGAAAATCAAAAGCCGACACTACAAAAATAATATAATTAAAAAATAATAAAAAATAAAAATAAAAAAGCAGTAAAGCGGGGTTGCTTTCCAACAAGAGCTTGATTTAACGTCGCGGCACAACGTGAATTACTTTCTGCCTCCACTTCGAACATATGAATTGGACCCCAAGTTTTGATTCTGCTCTATGATCATGCTCCCGGGGTGGCAGAAGAATCTGACTGGCCCAATAAAATAATATAGTATTCTGCACTTCTTGGCCTTTGGATGAGATGTGTATTCCCGACTTTCTGGCAAGAAGAATTCCAGAATGTAGGCATCTTGTTCCTTACTCCTTGACTCCTCAAGTGGCTCGGACGACTCTATTTTCATATCATCATCCAAAAACAATGTGGAAAATGCTTGGAGTGTGGACCAATGCACTCTACTACACAAACATTGAGATTGTCAACATCCTCAACACTAATGACACTAGAGTCAACTAAATATGTATCCTCAATATCCTTGGTTGACTCTAGTATTTCTTCTACGACATCGACATCCTCAAAATCTAGTTTGATTGATTGTAGGTGTTCTACTCTGGCCTTCTCCTCTAGCTCCTCCCCGTATTTTTTTATATCCTCCAGTATAATGGCAACTTCTACAGCCAATTCATACACATATTGGCTACTATACACAATGTCAACTTGTTGCGCTTTACAAGGTTCAGTTAATTTATTCGCTTGAGCCTCCAAGTTGTGAATAGTTTCCTCTTGCATTTGTATCTACCGTGGTTTCTCATCATATTGTTCCATATGGAACTTTAATATATCTTTGATCTTTTTCATGTTATCTTCCCTAGGTTCTTTATTCCTGTTATCCTCACAAGAAAAAGAAGAACCATCAGAGTAAGGGGTTGGGGGAAGATAAAAATTGTAAGCACAACCAAGAAAGTGACCATCTTGACCACCACAGTACATATCACACATGTTCCACACATAAGATTAAGTTGGTGCACACAACTCGCTCTTGGGAATATTTTGACAATTTTACACTAGGTGGTTTCCTTCACAATATGCATGAGGAGGATTGAAAGTAGAATTACCAATATCAAAACTCTCATAATTCCAAGATGCCATGTTTTTAAAATCAACAAATAAAACAGAAACAAAAAAAATCAAATACAAAAAATAAAAATAACTGTTCAAACTTGAAACCTAGCAATATGCACACCTACAGCTACACCGTTAGCTCCCCGACAATGGCGCCAAAATTTGATCACGCCCAACTATGCCTTATAAAAAAGACTAAGCGGTCGTTGCAAATATAATTCGGTTTACAAGTCCGGAGTCGAATCCCACAGAGAACTAAGGCTTAGCTACAACTGTTCAATATTGCTAGAAGACAAGCTCGAACAATTCCTATATTATAAATATTAAGATTCTTGTATCTAATTAACAAATAAATTAAGTTAGTAGATTAACACTAAACACACTACGAGTTGGAGACAGATAAAGGAGGTCTAGAGTTATGATTTCCCTTATTGTCAGAATCCTTCCCGCTACGTTTTATAAATTTACCTAAGTCTTCTCTACCGATCATGGGCACTCTGGCTATCGTAAATCTCTCCCGAGTAATTATAACAACATACTAGACATATTCTCCCAATTTACGCTAGCTGGCCTTAAATACATCTCACTCAGATCCCACCAACCTTTCGTTATCCTAATCCCACCTTTAAACCCTCCGTATTGATCCCTCATATACGTTAGGAGTGATGTTGTTCAACAACTACCTAAATATGCACTCTCTCCCGAGTAATACACGCTAAATAGGCACAGTCGATTGAGAGTACTTCAACTAACTGCATTAATAACGTAGTTGAACATAGAGAAAATACTACAGCAAATCTATATTAACGTAATAGGAAAATCAATCCTCCAAAAGGTTCCATCAAAACCCTAGATAACAAATTAGCTATTCATAATAGTATGCAAAACTACAATAGTAGAATTCATAACCAATAATGAAAAATAGGACGAATGACGTGAAAAATTCGTAGAAGAATTCTCCGCCTTGCTCCTAGTGTGTTCTTGCCCCCTTAGGTCGAATCTCCGGTCTCCACGAGGCTCCGCTCTCTTCCTAGGTTTAAAGTTATGTCCAAACTCGCTCTCCCTCTCCGTATGTCTCAAAACTGCCAAAAGTAACATTTTTAGGTCTATTTATATGTTTAGGACAAGGCCTAAATGTGTAGGTCAAATCCTAGTCAAACCGGGAAACAAATAAAAACCTTCAAAACTCGGACTGGGCCTGGCGTCGCTTGGATAACGCCAGCCTAGGCCTGGCTTTAAGCTGGCCTCACCTGGATAAAGCCAGCCTAGGCCTGGCTTTAAGCTGGCCTAGCCTGGATAAAGCCTGGTCAAGCTGGCTTTTGCCCGGCTTCTCCTTTTCACCGTTCTCGAGCGCACTTTCGACGTTTAAGTATCCCTTTTAGCTCTACTTTCATTTCCGATGCACCTACACATAAAATAGCCTCCATTACGCTCAAACAAAGTGTATTTTAACATTAAAGCATGTAAGCGCAAAGCATATAATGTGCTAAACCATGAATTCTAGCCACACATCAACAAGTAATATTTATGTGTTCCTCTTTTCGTCAACACATTTATTTTATGATAATTACGAGTTTGTGTAACTCTCCAACGTATTTAAGTGGCTTTATATTTTAAAAATAAAAAATATGCCGTCTTATGGTACGTTAAGAACAACATATTCAAATTTTGTTTTTGACTGATTTACATAGAATTATTGAATTTACATTATGAAAAACCTTAGATTATTTCACATCCCAGAAAAGTCAATTAATGAATTAATGAGCTATGGAATCTATTTGATTAGTATTAGTATACATACGTAGTAAACGTTATTATTATTGTGTTTAATTAAGTAAAAATAAGGTAAAATAATCATGGGAAGTAATGTTTATGTCTCCTTCTTTTCTTAATATACATTTTGTTAAAGATACAATTGCATATAAGTCTGTCTAACTCTCAACGCGTATAAAACAATTTTATATTTTTAAAAATCTTCGTCTTATGATATGTTAAGAACAACAAATTTGAATTTGTTTTTCACTAATTTAGATATAGTTATTGAATTTTCTCATATGGAAAACCATAAATTATCATATTTCGATTTCTAGATAAATGTTAAGTATTCCACATCCAAAAAATTCAATTAATGAATTTATGAGCTAAGGCATATTTATCTATTTGCTTAGTATTAATATACACGTACATACGTAGTACAAGTTACTGTTATTGTGTTTAATAAGTAAAAAGTGATAAATATACTGAAATATTTATAGATTAGTTTTAAGATTTGATCGCATATGAATTTCTCTAATTCTCCAATGCACGTTAGATTGTACATCTTATTGAAATATGTCATCTTATTGTACATTAAGAACAACACATATCGGAATTTCGTTTTTGACTAATTTAGATTAGATATTAATGTAGTTACTGGATTCCTCATTATAATAACTAATCCATGGATTATCATTATACAATTTCTACATAATTAATGAACCCACATCCAAAAAACTCAATTAATTAGTGAATTTATGAGCATATTGTCACTTTCAAAAGATCCTTAAAGCGTATATGTGCTCGAACAATTAGGTGGCGCATGTTTGAAATTTTTTGAGAATTTGAATTTGCAAACTCAGTTTTTGAAGTTTTGCAAAATTGTTGTTTGAGCTAAATTTTGAAGGGAAAAAAAAGGTTCCAAAAGCTAATTTTTAAGTTTTCAAATACTTAAAAAATGAATGTGGAAAATCATAAAACCAGCAAAATATCTGAGTAACGACTTAATTACATAGATAGTCTTAGCAATTAGTGGGACAAAAATGACTACTAATTAATTATAATAGCAGACAAATCATATTGAGTGAAGGATTATATTGTCATTTACTCGCATAGTACAAAGAATCCAAAATTCTGATCTTGTACATCTATTATAATAAATTTATTAAATATTTATAAATATATGACCGTCGACCAATTACTATTGCATATTAAATTGAAGTCGTCGTAGGAACTTATAAACTTTAAATCCAAGATCTAAGCCTCCAGCTAGTACTTGTAGTACTAAACTCAATCTTTTATAGATCAATAAAATCAGCTCCTGGAGGGAGAAAAGTTGGTTTAATTGTTTGGCTTAGGCTTCTTCACAATCATCACAGAGCAATGAGCATGGTGAGAGCAGTAGTCACTTACGCTACCCAAAACAGCCCTGTATAGTAGAATTATTGAAGAATTAATTTCAAACAATAATTTCTAGCAAAAGAAAGAAAAATCGCCCCCAAAAAAAGGAAATAGAATTCTCGAGTGGTTATGCTATTTTTTTATAGTCTAAGATTATGGTACTTTTTTAGAGTTTAATTAATATTCACTGACATCGTAAAACCATCAGTTAATTTTACTTGGCCGAACACGTTATGCATGCATGCTGTAAAATTAAATAATTGACTTTTAAGTGATAAACTTCCAAGCAAGATGAGTCGAGTATGAAAGAGCTGAAGTGATTATTAAATAATGAGGCTTGGAGATCCAGAATGACTTTATCGACGGATCACCGAGCAAGAAAGAAGCTTTACGCAGCATTTCATACTCTTTTTTATACTTCTTTCATCCCAATTTAATTACTTGATATATTTTTCTTATTAAAAGTCAATTTGAGTGAATCTCAAGTAAGATCAGACTAGATTTTATAATTTATTTTTGAAAATTAAAATTTGCTGCTCAGAAAATATCATAAAAGTTCTATAATTTGCAGTTCTACTCCTATTAAAAAGGTTAAAAAAGTTCACTTTAAAGATTTCGCACATAGTTCATTTAGTTTAAGGGCAACCCGGTGCACTAAGCTCCCGCAATGTGCGGAGTCCGGGAAAGAGCCGAACCACAAAGGTCTATCGTACGCAGTTTTACCCTACATTTCTGTAAGATGCTGTTTTCACGGCTTGAACTGTGACCTCGTGACCACATGGCAGTACGTAGTTCATTTAGTTTAGATCTCAAAAAAAAAGAAAAAAAAAAGTTAAAAGTGTCAAATTAACATTATAAATGTTCTTTTTTAGTATACCTTTTGAAAGTTCCATAGCCATGGCTGCCCATGACCAAGAGAGAGGCGTGATGCCTTTCAACAGCATCACAAATAACATTCCTAGCATCACCTTCAAGTATTTCACATGCAACATTAGCAACCCCTTTACTCTTGCTTAACTCTTTAGCCTTGTCAATAATTTTCTGGGCTGTCTTTTTTATGTCTGTTTCTACCATTGTGTACATGTCTGTTGTTCCTGCAACATTAACATTCACAAAAACATGTCAGTTTGTTCCTGAACAATATTAACAAATTATAACCCCGAAAAACAACCTTCCGGATAAGGTTAAGGTCTGCGACACAAGATCCTCCGCAGACCTCACTTATGATAATACACTGGGCATGTTGTTGTTGAACCTTGAAAAGTCATTCAATCATGGAAGAAAGCTCAGGGTATTAAGCTCGTGCTTGCTCATACTATGTGTAAGCTCTAGGGAAGGGTTGGAATATAATATTGGATCTGTTGTACGCAGTTTTAAGTTATATTTTGCAGGAGAAGTTATTTTTACAGTTTGAACCCGTGAACAAAGACATTGTTTTCCAGCTTTTTGCAAGTCTAATTGATCTAGTATTTCGACATAGAATATAGATATATTTGTAAAAAAAAAAAAGAAAAAGTAAAATTACAAAAAACATTAAATTTCTGACAAAAATACAATATAATGTGCTCAAACTATTAGATGTTTGGCTAAACTTTCAAAATCTGCGTATTTCAAAAAATTGCTTTTTGTCGTAAGTTTTTTTTTTTCAAAAAGTACTTTTCAATAGTAGCTAGCAGCTTCTGTCCAGCTAATCAACTTAAAATGCACTTTTGCTACTATTAGAACTGCAATTTTTATACTGGACCGAGGTTCTAAAAGTGATTTTGGAAAAAAGATCCTTTTTCAACTTATGAAAACAGTTTCTTTTACCGCTCAAAAGCATTTATTTTTCCTAAAAACTTGGCCGCACACCTCAACTCTATAAAATAAACAATTATTTGGAAAAATACACACTTTATTAAGCTTCGCATAAGCCTAGCCAAATTGTTAGTATATCTCGAAGATTGAATCCGTCAAGTTAAATTTTTAAGGGATCTTTATATAAATAGCTCACTATATTTATTATTTACTTTTTCTAATCATATACATAAATTATACACAATTATACACATATAATACATAAAATATGCATATATTATACCTCTTCCAGCTATTTTTAGTTTAAGTAGTTGGGTGTGCCGCTATTTGAGTTAATTCTTCAATTTTTAAATCTATCTCCGCTCTGCTCCTCCCAATAATGGAGGAAAGTGCGGGGGTGGGGGGTGGGCAGGGGCGGATGCACGCTTACCAAAGTGGTGTCACGCGATACCGCTTTATCGAAAAATTTTACTAAAAATATATATTAATACTGTACAGAAACGGATAAGTAGGAAAAATGACCTCACTTGACATAAATTGTATCTTGTGTGTTTGTTATGTGCTTGATTTTGTTCTAAGAGGCCAAAGGTTCAAACCTCAACTAGCACATTTTTCTTTTGCAAATATTTGAGAGAGCCTTTGTGGCTAAAAATTGTGGTGAAGTAGAATTGAACTCAAGAATTTTTCTAACTTATGACTCAACAAAATCAATAGACTAAGGCTATTTCTTGTCTAAAGGTATGATAATCAAAGTTATATTCCAGTTCTTCTATAAATTTCGATACCGCTCACAAAAATTTCTACGTACGCCCCTGGGGTTGGAGTCGGGGGGATAATACAAGTAATTGTAATACCTGGTCCAACAGCTCCTATAACAGAAGTTGGATTAGGTTTTGCATGAACAATGATGAGTTTAAAGCTGGAAGCTGAGGGAGAAGGAAAGAAATGATCGAGAGTCCATTCAAGGGCATAGAAGCTATGGTCACTATCATCAAGGGCAAAGATCATCAGTTGTTTCTCTGCCATTGCTATACACAAAACAAGACGAAAATGTTAGTCTTTCTATTTGGTTGAATTAATAATGATGTTATTGACGGATTAATTATATATATATATATATATATATATATATATATATTGCTATATTTTTAAAACTCCGATCCGTTAGAAATGGATCTAATTAGAACCTTTTTGGACATTAACTACCTGGTCAAGAACGGAGTAAAAAGGGTGCCTATCAGAGGAGCACGCGTCAAAAATCTATGGGCGGAGTTCGGGTTAGAAAATTATCGAAAAATTACACGATATATATAAGATAAATTTTTTATTTTGATATATATCAGATGTTGGATCTGAAGGAAATGGAGAGGATCTCCACTTGAGAAGAATTGGACCCAAATATTCGTATAAATTTAAGTAATATATATGGATAGTATAAAAAAAACTACACTATCAATGCAATATAATCGGTCATAATATGTTAATTAATACTCTCATCTAGCTTGCTATGTATAATTTATGAAGATTCACATGTGTAAGAAAATTGTATATGTAAGTGCACATTATTTAAACTCCTATTGTATTTAGGCAAAATACATAAGTTGATACTTGTATTTAGCATTTTCGGACTTTTTAAAAGGAGAACCTTTTGTCATTGTCGATATTACTGTGAAGTTGTATTGTTGCCTTTACGGAGAATTTTTTATAAAGAGATTTACTTTGTATTTGTAAACCGTGTGTAAAGGTAGGGTTTTATGTGATTATTGTAATACCCTTACTTTGAACAATGTTATATACTCTTGTCTTTGTCTTTACTTTTGTATTTATGTATTTCTTTATTTGTCTCCTTTTGTTTGCAGAAAAATGTCTTTTAAATTGATTACACTCAAGTGGTACCACGATGGGGTCTTAGTTCCTGGTAACTTTGCTCGTTATGTGGAGGGTTGTCAAATATTGACTTTAGATGTAGATGTGCATTTGTCACAACCATAAAACTGACTGGTCGTGATGGCGCCTATCGTGAAACTAGGCTAGCCGACACAAATCCCAAATCAAACCAGTAGTTCATAAAAGTCATTTTTAAGCTATTAGTTAACAAAATCTCATAACATAAGTCTAGACAACAAGTGCAGAAAAATAACACAAGCCCAACATCGGGGTGTCACAAGTCACGAGCAACTACATGGTCTGTCTAAGTGCAATAAGGCTATCATAGTCCGGAAATAAAGATACTAAGAACAGTCTGAGTAAGGTAAGAAGGAGAAGTGCAGGGCTGCGAACGCCAAACAGCTACCTTGCCAACTCCGAAGACCTGCTGAAAGAACGATCAACGCTCGCTATCGCGACCCGCAACTCCTGGATCTGTACACAAGGTGCAGGGAGTAATGTGAGTACGCCAACTCAGTAAGTACTAAAAGTAAATGAAAGCTGAGTAGTAAGAAATCAGATAATTCCACGTCATAGCACTACAACAAATACGGTACGTTTCCAAAACAATATAAAAATCAATTTTCTCATGAAAACTCAATTTTAGTAAAGCCTTTTAAAAACAACATTCAATAGTTTCCAAACCAGTGATGAAACAGTGAGTAAAAATGATGAAAACATAAATAGCCCCTCGGGCAAGACATGTATCATAAACCGCCCCTCGGGCATAACATCAGTCAGAACCAGCCCCTCGGGCTACCTCACAATCACTCATAATCGGCCCCTCGGGCAACAACATAAATCAAGATCATCCCCTTGGGCAATATCACATCACTCACACTAGGTACCCGTGCTTACTGGGGGTGTACAGACTCCGGAGGGGCTCCTACAGCTCAAGCGCTATCACAAACCATCTTGTGGCATAATAAATTAGGCCCTCGGCCTATCATATATCACAAAGCAGTACAACCTGCTGCGGCGCGCAGCCCGATCCCATGATATCCTCACAACACAGTCCCTCGGCCTTACTTAGTCAGAAACCTCTCAAGCCACTCGGGCTAACAGTAAAACAGGGTGCTCAGCCCAAAATATCATTTATGCATCAAATCATAATAAATAAGACTGAGTTATGAAATCAGTAAAACATACTGTGACTGAGTACAGTTATTAAATCAAAACAGTGAGGAATTTCAGTAAAGAAAGCCTCCTAAGGGTTCAAACAGTTGGCACGAGGCCCAAATATGGCATTCAACCTAAAAGATATTAATACTTTCTAACATAAGGTAATATCAAGTAGTTTCAGTTAAATACACAACTTAATAGTTTCTAAGGGACGGACCAAGTCACAATCCCCACTGGTGCACGCCCCTTACGCTCGTCATCTAGCGTGTGCATCACCTCAAAATAGTACAACGATGTGAAATTCGGGGTTTCATACCCTCAGGACAACATTTACAATTATTACTTACCTCAAACCGGACCGAACTCTAACCTGCAATGCCTTTGCCTCTCGACTCGGCCTCCAAATGCTCCAAATCTAACCAAAATCAGTATCTGTCACGACCCGAATTTCCACCCTCGGGAGTCGTGATGGCGCCTACTAATACGAGCTAGGCAAGCCAATTAATTGCACAATTTACCTTGTTACCCATTTTATATTCATTAACAATTTCGAAATAATAATATTTAAACAGCGGAATTTAACATAAGCGGAAGAAGGAAACAATAAGCTATCAACATGAATATCTAATACAACTGTTTGAGTCTCGACTACCAAGAACTGGTGTCACAGTTTCACAGACGGTCTAAGAATACTACAAATAAATGGTCTGAAAGAAATAAATACAACACTGTCTCTAGAAATGCATGAAAGAAACAGGAATAGTAGATAGAAGGAGACGCCAAGGCCTGCGGACGCCTACAGGACTACCTCGGGTCGCCTGATGATCAAGAATCAGCAATCTCACTGCGGTCCGAAGTCCACAACGCTGGGGTCTGCACAAAAGAGTGCAGAGTGTAGTATCAGCACAACCAACCCCATGTGCTGGTAAGTGCCTAGCCTAACCTCGGCGAAGTAGTGACAAGGCTAGGACCAGACTACCAAATAAACCTGCTTCGGGGAAAAACAGGTAAAAACAGAATATCAATAGAATATAAAGGAATCAAAATCCAACCGCTAACAAGAATAAAGAAAAACAAAGGCAGATTTCACTTTCTTTTCAAATCTTGTTGCAGGCGTGCAACCCGATCCCATTTCTCATATCTTGTGACAGGCGTGCCACCCGCTCCCATTTAGTTTACCTCGTGGCAGGTGTGCCACCCGCTCCCATTTAATGTATCTTGTGGCAGGCGTGCCACGCGCTCCCATTTCATGTATCTTTTGGTAGGCGTACCACCCGCTCCCATTTCATTATATCTTGTGGTAGGCGTACCACCCGCTCCCATTTCATTATATCTTGTGGTAGGCGTACCACCCGCTCCCAGTTACAACCAACAATAATCACAAGGAATCCCGGCAAGGGAACAAGAACAACATAATAACTTCCCGGCAAGGGAACATTAATATCAACAAACATCCCGGCAAGGGAACAATGATATCTCAACAATATCCCGAAAAGGGAACAATAATATCAAACAAACATCCCGGCAAGGGAACAATGATGATAATAACATGTGAGGCATAATAAACCACAACGGAGTCATAACAAAATTATAACACAAGACTCACGGGCATGCTTGACACCATCGTATAGACACTCGTCACCATACCTATACGTCGTACTCCACAATTAACATGTAGCAAATAGACACAACTCCTAATCCCTCAAGCTAAGGTTAGACCAAACTCTTACCTCGATGCCACGAACACAATTCACGATTCAATTATAGCTTTACCCCTTCATTCCACCACCAATTCGCTCGTATCTAGTCACAAGTTACTTAATTACATCAATAAATGCTAAATGAATCAACCCCAATGCATGAAAATGAGTTTTCCAAAGTTTTACCCAAAAAGTCAAAATTGCCCCCGGGTCCACATGGTCAAAGCCCGAGGTTCGAACCAAAACCCGATCACCCCATTCCCCCACGAACTCAAATATATAATTTATTTTGAAATTGGACCTCAAATCGAGGTCCAAATCCCCAATTTTTGAAAAACCTAGGTTCTACCCAAAACACCCAATTTCCCCCATGAAAATCATTGATTTGAAGTTGAAATCACGTTAAAAGATGTTAAGAATTGAAGAAAGTTAGTTAAAAATGACTTACAATTGATTTGGAGAAGAAGAAACCTTTGAAAATCGCCTAAGTGTGTTTATGTTTTGAGAGGATATGAAATGGGTTAAAAATTCGGCTAAGTATAAAAGTTGCAGGTCTCAGATGTGGGAATTGCGAACAGGGGTTCGCAATTGCGAACCACGACCTCTGCTATTATGGGAATTGCGAAACAGGGCTTGCATTTGCGAACCCTTCAGGAAAATAGGACCTTCGCATTTGCGAACAACTTGTCGCATTTACGACTTGGTAATTGCGACAACTTCGTCGCATTTGCGACTCGAGGTTGGAACAGGGACTTTCGCATTTGCGAGACTGAGCTGGCCTGGCTTCCTTCGCATTTGCGATCAGCCACTCGCATTTGCGATATCGCAGTTGCGAGCCAGGCTTCGCAAATGCGAAGCCTGCAGGCCTGCTATGCACAGCTGAAATGTGCAATTTTTCTAAGTTCAAAATGCACCCCGTGGCCTATCCAAAACTCACCCGAGCCCTCGGGGCTCCAAACCAAATATACACACAACCTCAAAAACATCCTACAGACTTATTCGTGCAATCAAATCACCAAAATAACATCATGAACATCGAATTAAACCTCAAGATCAATAAAATTTCTCAAAACTTCTTAAACATCAAATTTGCATTTAAGGTCCGAATCACGTCAAATGGATTCCGTTTCTTAGCAAACTTCACAGAATTGTCTTAAATCACATATAAGATCTGTACCGGGCGCCGGAACCAAAATACGGGCCCGATACCAACATGTTCTAATCGAAATTTATTTCCAAATCCTTTAAACAATTTCAGAAAATAATTTTCTTTAAAAATTTATTTCTCGGGCTTGGGACCTCGGAATTCGATTCCGGGCATACGCTC